ATCAATTTCTTACTTCAGATTTCAGAATCTCTTCAAGTTCTCTTCTTCCTATTTTCGCCACCTTTTCTCTCTCCTAGAGAAATCGTGTTATTCGCTAGGTGCTAGCGAACGCCCGGTGCTTGCATAGCCAGCTCCGGTTTTCATTGCTTCCACGCTGCGTCAGTCTTTAATTTCATGTTCTTTCTTTCTAAAGCTTAAGACACCCATGCCAGAATTTGAGGGAGACAAGCAATCATGTTTACTTGCCGGCTCTTCCTTGGTATCTTTGTGTTTCCCCAAAGCCGTTTATGCATAGTGTGCAAATGGATCATATCCCTTCTAATACATAGTTCCGATTTGAATTCGGATCCGTTCCTATTTTTCTGTATCCCTCTATTGGATTTTTGGATCAGATCGGATAAAAAAATCTAGATCATCCCATCCGAATTTGATTTTTTATATTATGTACATTGTTTTGTAAGAAGACACGTATACCCCATTTTGTTTAAAATATATACGACAAAAATGGTTGAAAAAATGCTTGTATTTTTTCTTTTCTTACTGTTTTGTCTTTTTTTTTTCTTGTTAATAATTAAATTGGATTGAATCATATTTGAAGATATGACATCCTTAGCGAATTCAAATTCGAATTAATCTTTATAACATATGTTCAATCATTAGATCCGATCAGATATAGGATTTACATTATTGGATCAGATTTGGATAACCCTGATTTAATCCATTTGCATTTTATTTATGCAAGAAATGAGATGGATGATTGCATTTTCTATGAAACGAAACATGATATGATGTCAGAATAACTGATTGATTGAGGTAGTGATACAATTCAAATATGAAAGATAGAAAATAGAAGAAATAGAAAAAAGTAGGAAAATGGATGGAGTTTCATTAAGGCTGTATTTGGTTTGAAGGAAAAAGTAGGAAAAGGAAGGGAAAGGCAGGAAAACCTATACAAGATTTGTGAAGGTTTTCCTACATTTCCCTTTCTTTCCATACCTTTTCCTCCAAACCAAATATAGCCTAATATGAAATGGATTACAATGAGATTTGAAGATTCACTCATCCAAAGAAGGGACTCACTTACTTAAGAGTGTAACTCTCTCATTTCTCAAAAGAAATCCACTACAACTAGTTGTTAGAAAACCATTAAATTAGTCATATGATTTTATATTTCTTGGACTATTATAATGGACTGCAACAAGTAGGACATCAAAAACACAAATTTCTTTTTTGTCTTGATGGCAAATCAGCTGGCTTTGTTGAAGGGATGATAGTTGGTTCTAGATAGAAGTAGTGATTGGCATCGTGTTACTTGGTTGGGATAAGTAGATGACAAACCATATTGGGATATATAGCTTCTATAACTCAGTGGTAGAGCGTCAGTCTTGTAAACTGAAGGTCTGTAGTTCAATCCTGCATGGAGGCACTTGTCTTTTTCCTTTTTCAGAGCTTTATCAAAAAAAAAAAACATATTGGGAAAAGGCGTATTTCTGGAGTTTATAAGCTGTTGTTTGGAAGTCAAGGAGGATGGACAGATCAAGGTTTCATTCAAGATAGTGATTTTATTTTATGGGAATGCAAATGATAAAATCACAAATATTAGTTCATTTCATTAGGAATTTTAGTTTATTTTTCTCCAAGTTTTATTTTATTTTACCTACACTTCAGATAAACAATATAAAATAAAATCTATGATAAAATTCAACTCAAATTTGGATTCAACCCATTTGTACTCCCTTTGGCAGTTGTACAAATGACATAACCAATGTTTTTGAGCTGTCAATTACCCGGATGGTCGGACTGTTTGGCCCAGAAATCATCCAGGCAACTGGTTCTGTTTTACCCCAAACCCAGTCCCTGACCAAAATCGTTGAATTGATCAATAACCCGTTGATCCAAGCACTCAAACCTTCAACTCGTTCAATAGTTTTGATCATTTTTTATTTTAATTATTTTTTTTTTAATTTATCTTGTCAAAACAGAATATTCATTTATACCAGATGGTCAAACTATTGACCTAAAAACCAATGGACAAAATGGTTCTAGTTCCAGGTAGGTTTTTAAAACATTGCAAACAACACTGCAACCAAATGCAGTTGGAGGAATTCTTTTTCCTGCATGCGAAAGACAAAGTAAATATCAATTATTCATGGAAACTAATTTCTAAACTTTGTACTGTTCCCAAGCAAGGGCATACGTACTTATCCAGATATATTTTTACTTGAGTTGTGGGAACGTTCTTAAGAATACGCTGTGTTGCAGTGCAAATCTTAATTGGATGCAAAATTTGTATTTGGTTCAGTTTTTCTTTTATTTATTTGTAATCATAATTTGCATTTCTATCTGACATAAAATTTGTACTTTATCTCTTTTACACTCACTAACAGTGCAAATTTTACATCCAAAAGTTGAGGCAAAATTACACTACATTCCTCCTTACCTCAACTATTTTTCATGTAAATGGGAACCACATCAACCCTCCTACCGCCATTCTCTTTCATTTATTTGCACTCACTGACAGTGCAAATTTTACAACCCATAAATTGAGGCAAAATTGCACCACATTCCTCCTTAGCTCAATTAATTTTCTTCTTATTTTTTTTTATCATCAATAACCAAGCCTTATCTCAACCATATGGCCATATGGGTTGGCTACATGAATCCTGTTTTGTCATTCCAGCATTGTGCTTAATGCTTTTTACCCATCTCCTTTCAAAAGAATTTAAGAGCCCTTATCTTCTTTTCCTATTTTTCATCTTACAGATAAAGAAGACAAAGTCAACTCTGAGGTCTGAACTGAAGCAATAAACCAGAATTTAAACTCAACTCTTTTGCATTCCCATGCATTTACACCGTTGCAAATGAAATTTGTACTGCAACCAAACGTAGCCTTAATAACTCTTCCTCTACTTACTTTCAATTAAAGTGAGCATATTAGCATAGACCGGCAGGCTGAACATTTGTGTACATAACGTCTTATCTTACTTTAACGAGGAGGTATAAATTAATTTTTATCAAACAACTGCAGAAAAAATTATAGGAACTTGCATATACTTCAGTGGAAGTTTCATCACGAAGTAGGAAAAGAAAATGAAGAACATCGAGGATATAGAAAATCAAGAATTTCAATTGAATGGTGCGTGTTTCGATGGGGAGAGTTACACCCTGATCATTTACAAAAATAAACATATGGAAGTCCCAATACCAAGTAGACACTGGGCACAAGAGATTAGTTTGAACTATCCCAATGTCTTCCCTTCCAGTACTGCAAGTACGATGCATTTATCTTATAGTACTAGAAACTAGAAAGGTTGCAAATTTGCAATCAGGATTAACCGTAAAACTGTGTCATTGTGAAACATCAACTGGGCTATGAGGCTCATTTTAATTTGTTTTTCCGGCCTTTCTACTTCCACAACCCTTGTCTATGTTGTAAGACATTAGACGTGAAGCAAGATCCATGAAGTCGTGCTCTTTGCAGGGAATTATGAGACCACCAACTGGTTGGTGAAACCCAAACTCTTCCTCCGCTCTAGCTAGCAAATGTTGGAACCAAGGATGCTTCAAGTAGGATATCGGGACGACGAATCGTTTCTTTTCCATCTCTCCAATGTACACCACGAAGTAGCCTTTCGGAGCATTAGCCATTGGTGATGCCATTGGCAATTGTTTTCTTCTCATCATGAGAGATCCCAGGAGAAACCATATGGCATCAACCATCCTAGCCACATAGACACCCATGGTTTGGTTTGGTTTCTTTCTGTGACAACTTGAAAGCAATTTCACAGATAAATCATGAAAAGATAAAGGAAATTGGAAGTTTGAAGTATACAGATTTGTGTTAGCATGTATATATAATTAGGAGAGTTAGGAGATGAGAGAAAACCATGTGGATGGAAATCACTAACATGTACATTTTGTTTGCGTATGGACTATGGGGGGGGGGGGGGTCTTCTTCTTCATCACTCTTCCGAGAGTCATGCATGCTTTGTGGAATTGCATGGTCTCCATTTTGTCTTACAAGTCAAGTGGCCGAGAATAGCGTCGAAGATTTGGAGGGATCTCATCTGGTGGAATGCCAGCTAATTGAACCCAACCGGTACAATCGTTGTACCCGGGGAATGACAATGAGGCTACTTTAGCAGCGTGACACACTGCTCAAACTGCGCGAGGCTGTCGTCTACATTATGACTTATGACCATGAACGCACTCTTGTGGAAGGGTGGTGCCATGCCATCTGCCACGCCTATATATAACTAAACTACTAATAAGGAATTGGCACATGGCCTTGTCTTTATTTCATTTTCAAGCATTTCAGTATGTTTTGACTGCAAAGAAATACCTGAGAAAATTTGGGACGATAGCCTTAGAAATGAATAGTCCACCACAGCAGATTCATTATTGATTTGGACATTTTACCTACTCATCCTATTTTGGACTCAACAATCTCTTCTACTTTAATTTCTAGTAAAATACCGCATTAAGACCCTTTTTTTTAATCTTTCTAATCCTCATGACATAGATAGGACTGTATATTATTTTGTTTTTTTTTTTTTTTCCTCCTTTTTTGGTTTCAATACTTGTTGGTGTGGTTATCACATTCTATCATCAGAATGGGATCTAACTTGTCATTTTTTATCTGTTCCCTCCAACCCCAAGTCCCTTTTTTCTCAAACTTTATACGGATTTTTACATCTAAATCCTAAATTTAAACCCTAGACATTGAAAACGCAATGTGATTGGATGCATGTCCTCTGACTGGGCAAGAGCAAAGGATTACCCTTGTTTTTTTTTTCTCTCCCTTTTGTTCTGGGATTAGATAAGAGGTACAGGGTCTACTAACACAGCTTGTACTTGAAAATTATTCTGTTCCAGCACCAACTTATTTGGAAAAAAATCTTGATAAAGTACAGATAAAAAACCTTATAATTGTATATTTAAATGTTAGTGTTGTATGATTGGTACCATTCTATGATAAAAGGACTTCCTTGAACTTTGAGCCATTAAATTAGGTTGAACTTTGTATACTTGGAAAACAGATTAGCTGAATTTAGTGACTCCATTATGGGCTGTGGCATATGGGAGGCGTGGGGATCGGAGTGGGGCGGAATGCTTGGTCCCACAGCTATTTAAGTTTAGCTAATCATTTCCATTAACTGAACTTGATGACTGTGTTACCACCTGTTGGACCAATCATAATGCCCCATGCCGAATCCAGATTTTCTCCTCACAGAACGATCTCACAATGCTTTCAACCGTGCATTGAGAATATTTTCTATACTTGATGTTACGTTGTCATTCTTAGGAATATGTTTTCCGATGCATGGCTGTAATGTACTGTGAGGTCGGTGTGAGGTGCATTCTGTGAAGAACAAATTTGATTTCCCCATGCCAGTCTTAAAATGCATATGGTCTACAAACACTCAATTTCTCACTTCACATTTGTGGCTAGCATGGGGTGTAATGAATGGTCACACAATTTGGAACACAGTTATCAAGTTCAGCTAATCCTCTCTCATCATCTTGAGGCAATGCTTTGATTGGGATTCACGATTTAATGAAAATGGTCCAAGGGATCTCTAAAAGAGAAAGTGGTCATTTTTATCAGACAAGTATGCAGGAAGCAAATGCTTTCTATTTGGCTGTGTTTAGTTTGCGGTGCTAATATGAACAGAATGCAAATTTTGCACCCAGTTCAGTTTTGCATAAATTAAGTTGTTTGTAACACCTCCCTCCTACATCAATTGTATCACATAAAATGCACGGAAATTGCATTATATATCATGCTTCTTACTTTACTCCCAAATAAATAACCCTAGCTCCTATCTCTATTCTCTTTCATTTAAGACAAGTCAAAGAAACAAATTTGAATTCCCATGCATTTACACTAAAAATAAAAGTGAGCCTAAATTTGTATAAAGTAATTTTCTTTGTTACTCTTCCCAGAGGTTTACAAAGCAATTACAAATTTAATCTCCTTAGGTGGAAACTGGAAAACGATCCTCTTCACAAAAAATTATGAACTTCACCCCCATGTCTTCCAAGGTTGAGGGTTTCATCATTTTTCCCTGTTCAGATTTTTCAGTTACCATGCATCCTTTTAGATTCTTCCTCAGGACATGTCTCATGATCTATTATGAGGCAGTCATGCGAGATGTAAGGTTGATGAAGGCAGCTTCTTTGCATGGAATTGTGAGACCACCCATTGGGTGATCGAACCCAAATTCTTCTTCAGCCTGACTTAGCAAATCCTGGAACAAAGGATGCTTCAAGTAGGATACTGGAATTACAAATCTCTTCTTCTGCGTCTCTCCAACATAAACCGCCAAGTGGCCTTTTGGGACATCTCTGATTGCCCCTGCTGGAAATTCATCTCTAGCAAGAAGACGGTGTACTTTGAGAATCTGCTTGGCAGGAAGAACCATCGAAGGCAAGCGGATGCCCATGACCATCTTTAGAACAAAAAGCTAGACTGATGGCCTACAAATGGAGTTATATTTGTTCAGTCGTATAAATGGGCCGGCAAACCAAGAATAGAAGTGTCTGCACTGAAAACAAAGTGGTTAAAGGCTAGCTGCATACAAGTATGTGATAAAGTTGGATCAGTTTGCAGGTATATTTATAGAGAGAAACTGCCTGCAGACTGGGAGAGGAATGTTCTATGGTCAATCTATATTCGAGTGTATGATCAAGAGAGACTCGCAACTATTTCAGCATATATGTAGATAGATCTAACTACCTGGTTCAACAAAACTTTCTTCAGCTACCCCACATGTAAACACCTGCGGCTGCAATTACTATCAGAACTTCAAATATAAAGAGCTACTGCCCTTCATTATGAAAGCAAAAGAGTAAGGGATCCATGTGAATAGAATTGGATTATACACAAATGCAAGACGTCAAACACGTGAACATGTTTCAAGCTTTGGCCTACTATTTGGAGTCAACAAATTGGAAAGGGAATTTGGATAAGAAGTAGTGGGATTGGATGCAGAGCTATCTCCATCACTCACATGAGAGAGAGAGAGAGAGATTTCTTTTTTTTTTTTACTTTACCCCTGATTGATTGAGCATTTGAGCTGCAGGTTTTCAGATTACCTTGAATTACATGCGACGAGACTGCCTGCATGTTGTCTCAATTTCTCTCCCTTATTTATTTCTGGCTTCCCTTCCTGTTATCTATAATGCCAATACTTTTCTTAGCAAGATGCTCCATGGCAAGCCCAAAGACATGAAATATTTGTTGTTTACTAAAATCTCTTAAAACAATGGTGCCACCTGCTGCAGTACTGCTCCATTACAAAGCACGTTTATTCTCGTTCCATCATAAATTGGAAGCTCCATTCTACCTGCCATGTTCTTCTTAGTTATAAAAAAGAAGGAAAAAAAAAGGGAAAGAAAAGAATACCTACGCAGGTTCAGTACGGATTGTAAATTCTGGACCAAATCTGGATCACTGGTCAAACTTGTTTTTTACACATTTAAGGGAAGAAAAATGGAAAAAAGAAGGAAAATATGGAACTCATACAGAGAGTAACAAATTTATTCATGAATAACAATTTAAATTCTTGGTCCAAAATGACAGGCGGAAGATTGAACCTGTGGTCAAATGAAGACTCCAAGAAAAACTTGACTTGACCCAGTAAAAACAAAAACTTATTTCAATTGAATTATTCCAATTTAAGTTTCATGGGGGGAGTGGCATTCCCCAAAAAATATATATAGAATATGATGCTAGGAAATATATGATTTAACTTTTATGGTCTGAAAGGACCCAATCAAAGTATGTGATATAATATGGATAATGGATACATACGTGCATTATTAAATACATAATAACAATAGATTCTTTTTTCTTTTTGTGCCGGAAATGATTATGGTAGTAGTTAATGTTAACTTCATAGTGCATATTAGGGGTGAGCAAATGGTAGGTTTTACCGAGAACCGAATGGAATTCGCCTTGAGCCAATTCTATTCAATATGTTACAAGGTAGGATCTGGTATTAAATCTTGGAACCAACCCCTACCTAGGCCAGTTCTAGGGTCTTTGGGTTTATTCTACCCGAACCAATCCAATAAACCAGCCTTGGTTGGCCTTGGAACTGACATTGGTGGAATCTATCTTGGAACTAAACTTGCTTTGAAATAAACATTAAAATACTTTTGGGGATGTGAATATTTGAAGCCAAGCACTCATGGTTATAAAGTCCATGGTCACACTTGACCATTGAGTTACTTAAGTGGTTTGATCAATTATTTTCATTTTAATATTTGAATGTGTACAATAAGTAACGTAGAAGGTAATATTTACAAAATTTAAATATAAATTATAAGTTTTGAATAATATAATGATAACCTACATTTTAAATTACTCAATTTAATCAATAAGATAATATAAGTTTTAAATTATATATTACGTTTTATTAAAAATCAAGTTTTTAAAGAACATACTTCCTTTTTGAAGGGGGATAGTAAAGAAATAAAAGGTTATATGGATAAACTTTGGAATTGACCCATAACCAACCCTGGACTGACCTTTCCAGATAGGTTCCAGTTCCAAAAACTTGGAACCAACCCTATAGGGTAGGTTCTAGATTCTGCCATGAAACAGAACTGACCCATGCTCACCCCTAGTACATATATATCCATTCTGAATTGGACTCGGTATGGTTTTCAAGATTGTAGGTTCAACTTAGGCTGAGCCAATTCTACTTGCCGGTCTAACATACGACCTGATCTTTGGATGGAATAGCATTGCTGATTGTACTCGAGTCGAGGACCTCAGGCTGGCTAAGATGAAAGAGCCCAAAAGCAAACTTGGCTTTGTTGAGTTTGCATTAAGCTGACGGGCATCTGAGGCTGCTCATCCAAAAACTTTAATTGAAGAGCGTAGAGAGAATTGATCACTTGGTCAATGTTATCTCCACAACTTTGACTGAAAAAGAGAAAGGATGGACTGCATTTGGGCAACCATGGTAAGCTCCATGCTCCAGCCCAATCCAGATCTTTGGAATGGACTAGTCTTGACTTTTGAGCTTATTGCCCATACCATTTTTTATATCAACGTCTACGTTGGCAGCGTTTTAAGACCTTGGTATCTAATTTTTCAAAAAGGGCACGTATAAGGCTTCATTTGTCATTCTTTAAGGACTTATCTCCTTTTTACATTAAAATGCCTCTATAAATACTGAATTTTTAACAGCAAAACGGAGACTTTTTTTCTACTAGTAAAATTTCTTGTTCTATTAACAATTCAAAGTTTGTACATCAGAATAATATAGAACATGGTATCTTTCTGTTTTTCCAATATATACAAGTTTTACATGCTAAGAAGTGAGCTAATTTGTTTTATGTACAAGTGATATATACAAATTCTATTGACTAGAAGTATTGTGTCTTGGCTTGAATGGTACCCCAATGAAGTTGATCCACCTATGAGCGATCAAGAGAATGGTTCTTGAATTTCTTGACCAATCCTTCAGTATCCAGGCATACCAGTAAATGATTGCAATTGTGATGGATTGCTGATTCTAGTTCTTGAACTAGAACTCTAATTTCTACATCATTGCTCCCATTTGCCTTGCATGCTATTCCTGGGAGCTTCCAGGATTGCTTTTGATTTTAAACTCCTCAGTACATATCCAGTCCCTACATGACCTGATTTTTCATCAAATAAGCCATCCATGTACGAGGTAAATGAGGGAGTGACAGGATTTGACCTTGTGTCGGGATACTCATTATCTTCTTTTGCTATTTCTCAATATTCTTTAAAAATGTTGTAAGCTGATTCAATGATACTCAAAGGATATTTTTTTTTTCTTTTAAAAGATCCATTGATTCCTTGCTTCCCATAACTTATATAGTATCACCTTAAAATAAGGAATGCCAAATGCAGCTTAAGAATAATACAGAAGGTTTTTGCTCAAATGTATATAGAGTACTGTCTGATGTCTATCACAATACAGTCCTGCTGTGCTAGCTAGGTTATCACAATAAATGGAGGAAAATGCCTGTTATTATAGAAGATATTAAAGTTTCAGGCCGGGCCAGGTGGAGCGAGGGCTAATTGCCCTCAGGTGGCATTGCAAAGCCGGGTACTGCATGATCTCTTGGCTTCAGATTGGATTTCGATATCGAACACCATTGATTGAAAAAACATACAGCATTAAACTCAACTAATTAATTCACTAAAATGTATTAACTTTTTATTTTTTGTAAAAATAAGCATAATAGAGAAAAGAATAATTTCTTTTGAATGCTGCATTTACAGGAGAAAAGAGAAATTAACAAGGAAAGAACAAAATATTACAATGGCAACAGAAAAAAAGAAATTCCACTTTCCAGCAGATTAATTCGAAAGTGGTTTGTGGATGGGATGGTATGGAACGGAGATGAGCAACAGCCTAATTGTAGAGTAAATAGAATTATGCTCTAGATAGCAACCTAGCGGCAGCTATGAGGCATTGAGACGGGAAACTAGATCAACAAAATCATCTGCGTTGCATGGGATGATAAGACCACCACCCATTGGATGATCAAACCCAAACTCTTCGGCCGCCCAACTCAACAAGTCTTGGAACTGAGGATGCTTCAAGTAGGAAATAGGAACCACAAACCGCTTCTGTTCCATCTCCCCTACGTAAACTGTGAAGTGTCCTTTTGGGACATTTACAGTGGTTGCTACCCGCGAGAGTAACCCTCTATCTTTTGTCTGTGGAAGAGGAGATAGCAGGCGGACAATTTGCTTCACCATCTCTGGCAAACGGATACCCATTAATTTTTCTCTACTAGAGTATTACTTTGAAGCTAGCTTGATTCGTAACTGGCTCAACAGGGATCTTTCTTTTTGGGAATTAATTGAGCAAGTGAATCTGTGAATGTAAAGGGTCTAGTAGTTGAAACTATGATTCTCCCAGTTCCAGTGGGCTATATATAGAGGGGAGAGAGATTTTTTTTTTCTTTTTTTCTGAAAAAGTTTCGAGAGAGAGAGTTTCTTGGTTGGATACAGAGTTTGTGATTGGATACAGAGTTTCTTGGTTGGGACCATATCAAACGTTAACAAACAAGCTGGCTTTGTTTTGTCGCATACTGCCATGTGTTATTTGTGAATTTTCCTTTGAGCACATCACGGGGCTTAATGACTGAATTGAATTCCACTTTGCCCCAAAAAATATATATTGAATTCCACTTGAAATCATGGTCATGGATAACATATTTCAATTTTCTTTCTATCTTTCCTTCTTTCTTTTTTTTTAATTTGCTGGGATTATACAAACGTTGCAGCCCATCCCATCACCGTAAATCCACACCATCGCCGTATACCCCCAACCCTGGTGGCAGAAGGATTTGATTCCAGGTCTCTGGAACAACAAACCAGAAGCCACCATCAGTTAGTTTTCTATTTAAAGTCTTGCGATTTTTTTCTTTGTAATAAAAATCAGCTATTCCATTTGGAAACCGTGAAATCACGGGTAAGGCCTTCTTAAGTGAATTGAACTGGCCAACTGGACTTCCGTTGTGTTTGCAATTACCGTACCAGGCCCAGCCATCTGAATGTATGTTTGATCTTTCAATCAGTAGCATGGCAATGCACATTGAGTGAAGCTGTGTACTGGTACCGGAAAATGAGAGACAACCCATGCACTGACGTGGTCAAAATAATTACCACGTGGCAAATCAGAACCGTTAGCCTGAAACATTAATCCGAACTTTGCGTAATTGGCTCCTTCATGGTCAGACGAAAGCCTCCGATTACCTCCTGATTTTGACGTGTAAACGCTAGGTTTTAAATCCTAAATCAAAAAGGTAATGCAATTGTCCACGTCAGACCACCTAATCATTTGGTCAAAGAGAAAAAGGCAGTCAAAGATGACAGAAAATTGCGGAGAAAACTATTGTTGTTGGGACAAACTAACTACAAATTTGAGTATTTAAAGATTAGTTGTCATCTTGGATTTATCTTACACTTTTCAACAATAATTCGTAATCGTAAATTGTAGCCTATAGGTTATTAGCTTCTATGAAGAGGCCAACCAAGTATACCTAATTTCATGTATTTCCCTTCTGTCCGGTACCCTTTCCTCTCTGTCTCTCTCTACATATATATACAAATGACAGTGTCAGCTATCTAAGGATAAGTGGGTTGGTTATCCTAATTCCTATATGAATACAGAGGGTCAATTTCTATTCGCACAGCCGCAGCCTGTATCTCTCACTCAAGAAAGAAAGAATAAACTTATATCTATATCAACGGCACTAATGGAGATTTCCTTAACCATTCTAATGTGCTGTGAAGTTGTTTCATTCCGTTCTCAAAACTAGAGCAGACATCAAACTCAAAAGGGCCAATTTGCTATGTTTCTGCAATGTTCAACCACATGGTCCGGCCCAATTCGAAACACTAAAGTAATTTTATTACGAGCATGTCTGGAACCAATGTTGTTTTTCCAAAAATTGATGCCACATTGGCACCACATAGACTTATTCATGGGCCAGACTTTGGGTTCGATTTTATATTTTGTGGGTTTGGGTTTCTGGACAGATTCATTGGAATTTTGAAAAAAGTCAAGCCCGAGCCCAGCCCATGAATAAATCTAGTGCCACAGAGGAGACTTGGTGTCGAGGAAAATGATCTCTGTTTGATTGAGTGTTTAAAAAAAACGGTTTTTCAGGCCACACATTAGAAATTGGGAAAAACATGGTAAGGGAAACACTCTTTTAGAATTTTTCTCATTTTTAATGTCATTGCTAGTAATGATTTGCTGATGTGGTATTGAAAAACACCCAGGTGGCAGCAATGGTCCCAAATAAAAAAAAATGCAGTTTTCTCAGAAAAGAGGATACCAATGCAGTACGAGAAAATGGCACTGGAGAAATTGCAACGAGAGAGAGAGAGAGAGAGTTCTTTACCCAACTGTCACAGCAACACTATCCAGGATGGTGTTAGACGTGCAATTGTAAGTAACGCAAACAAGGAAAAAAGATGTACTCTCGCCATTGTTTTTATTCATGTCATGTACAGACTAAAGTGTGCTTTTGTGTTTTCAAATGGCGGTGGTTTGATTTTGATAGCATCATTAATTTCATTGAATTGGGTTGGGTGTAGGGATGTGCACAGCCCACTCTCAACCCTAAGACCTGAATCATGGGCCTAGGCCCAGCCCACTCTTCTTTGTTTTGTGTTGCTCTTTGCTAGACCCAATTCAACGACATTAGCTCCTACTCAAGGAAAAAAGTGCCCCTTTTTGTCTTAAAATCTGAAATAAAGAAGACAAGGGAAAAACCATCTGAAATGGGTAATTTAGGCATTTAAAAGTGTAGCATTTTAGGGGAGTACTTTCCTTACCGAGTATGGGATCATTAACTAGTTCAAATTTTAAGTATGATATCATGTTGATTTTTGCGGTTGTTAATTAATACTGTCTCAATCTAATTAATTGTTACTGGAAGACTGATTAAGGGTGAAGGTAGGCAAGAAATGTTAGACCACTCAGGGTCTCAGGGTTCCAAAAGGACTGATGCAGTGCAACAAGAAGAAGAAAAAATAAAACAAGTAGAAGGAAGAAGTATCTATGAATGCGTTGTTACTTCCCTATGACAACAACAAAGAAGAAAAGCACACATTTTAAAGTTGCAATGTAGTTAATAAAGCATGTTCTTCGAAATTGGAGAGATCAGTAGTACTGGGTTGCTACATATGTTGCGTTGCTAGAGAAAAGAAAAAGCTTCTCAAGGCTTGTAAGAGAGGAGAGGAGTATAAGTGTTGTATACCTTATTAACCTCTCAATATATAGGGATAGGCGGAAGTGGTACATTTTGCAGAGGTTGATCAATCCACAAGACATGTAATATAAACTATTTTCGTACCTGCACCAAATAATGGGGACTATCTTTTGGGGCTCAACTGCACTTAAATGTAATGGATTCACCTCAGCTAAACCTATAAAAATTGGACTGGGTATTGGTCCGACCCGATTCGATCCATTATTTATGAATCTACTGTAGATGGACCAGATCCAACCCAACGCAATGAATACTTTGGACCATTATGGACTAGTCCAATTCAATGACTGGACCATCCAAACTCCAACCCAAACCTGATCCATTGACACCCGTTCTTTTATCTTACATCAATGGACTGGACATTGGTTCAATCCGATCAAGTACAGTATAAATCCATTACAATAAATATTTTGGACCATTAATTCTGGACCTGTTCAATCCCTTCAAATTGATTTTGATTCATACGGGTCCAACCTAAACCTGGTCCATTGACACCAATGCAAGTTGGGCTTCTAACGTGTTAGTAATAGAGATATTCAACATGGGCATTTAACTGCTTCCGGTCCATAACCCACATATGGGCCTAAATCACGAACAAAGGGCGAACCTATATGTCCTAAAAGTTGGTAGGCCCTACTCCACTATTCTGCTTGCAGGTGTAAAGTTGAACTTGACGGTGTTCATTATTACAAGTGTAAACCAAACAAGACTCTAAAAGTTTGTTTCATTACATCACTTGTGTAATGGAAGTCTTCGAGTTTATGCAAAATTCAGTTCACCGCACTCTACCTTTGTAGAATCTTTTTTTCAAATTCTAGTTTCATCTCCTTATTACAGCGTCAGCAATTATGATTTATGAGTGACCCTTATGGAAAAACACCTTGAGGAATTAATATGATCAAGCATGGGCATTTCTGCGACTATTTTACCTCCGAAAATTTTACCATATACCAATAATACCTTTGTATATTTAAGTTTCTACAGCAGTTGTTTCGGCAATTAGCAAACACCACCTTAGCTTTTGAAGTAATCTTTCACAGTCTCTAATGCAAAACAGAAAAAGAATGTATTTGCGATACACCTTCTTATGGCTAGAAATGGAGTCTTGTACAGATGAGCCAAATAGCAGGCTACATATTTCATTAATTAGACCAAAATCTGGTCCACGCAAATTCATCCTAATAAATCTCATTTGATCTAGTTATGGTTCAACACGATTGTGGATCACTAGCTTTTTCATTCTTTCTTTCTATTTTGCGGAAGTAGTTTTTATTTACATTAAATCCATTAGTGAGAAGGATTATTCTTTACAGGGTTTGACCCGCTTATTGAATGCCTTTTTTTTTTTGCTTGGGCGGTTTTGCATTTTGTCTGTATCTTTCTCTTCTTTTCAGGATTTATTTTATCTATTATCAAAAAAAATATCTTTGCTAGGTATACATATTTTTGTTTCATTAGGAAGTAATAGAAGACAAGGGAAGAAATTAAGAAAATAAGGAGGAGAAATCGATCTCTATTTAATCATGCTAAATAGTTCTCTTTACAAGCTAGTAATGACAACAAGAAGGAAAACCCACTTTAATTACATGGGTTGGTAGGACTATATATAAAAACTTCAAAATTGGCCGGGGAGATTAGTTGAGATTTCTGAAGGGCCATCAATTTCTGTTTACAAATTTGCTGCTGCGTACGTACTCCATTGAGTAGCCATTCAAGTGAGAAGTCAGATGGATGAAGGCGCCTTCGTTGCAAGGAATAGTAAGACCACCCATTGGAGGATGAAAGCTAAATTCTTCCTCAGCCCGCTTCAACAAGTCATGGAATAAGGGATGCTTAAAGAGAGAAATCGGAACCACAAATCGCTTAGTCTGGTTCTCTCCAACGTAAACGGCAAAGTGACCCCTGGGAACATCCTTTGTTGTTATTTCTGCTGTCGACGATGATGATCGATGAAGACAACGATTGTTGTCTAGTGCGGTGAAGATACCTTTGTCGTCGAACCCGAAGAATTTGTTTGGCATGAGCGATCATCTCTGGAAAACGAATGCCCATTAGCTGCTGCTTATAAATTGTATGGATCTTTAGGATAGAAGGAAGAAATTAAGCACAAGTGCCTGTACGTAAGAGGCTGGATTGTAACTACTTTCAAGGTCTAGAGAGGGGATCGATGCTGGTCAAGTAATGTTATATACATATTCTCTAGTCTGATCTATATATGGGGAAAGGTGTGTGAGAATGAGATGTACTTAATTGGGCGTAATGTTAGTGTAGGGAGACATATATTGTGACATTAGAACCCACCACAAAAATTTTGGTACCTACAAACACGCAGTGTGTCTCTCCTTCGATTCATGGTTGTGTTATTAGTTTGGAGCAGGTGATCAAGTACCCAACTTCAACTCCTGGATTAAGGAACGCCCGGCCCCTTTAGGTTAACAGTTCCTTGAGATTTAACTGACCTAACCTTGCTAACCTATATATGGTGAAGGCCAAGCCCTTGAGATTTAACTGACCTATCCTAGCTAAGTGAAGGCCAGGACGGATTTGGAACAAGTTAATTTGCCTCAACCATAACCCTATCATAAGGCATCTCATCCCAAACACGACCTTATCAAATGATATATTATTTAATCTGATTTGACCCTATACGATCTTAACCAAATCCAACTTAACCCATCAACTGTAACCCTGTTCTCTTTTAGTGAAGACCATATTTAATTTATACAATTACGTCATATGGTTCATCATGGGATAGCTATGTATAATGGGATGGACATCTCAAGATGCATCCATGTTTGTATCTAAGAAGATAGATAGAGGAAATTGTAAAAGTGAATGGATCATGGATGTCATGGTGATGGACATGTCCCATGTCCAATTCATAGAAACCAATCGGTTCGTGTTATCTGAGTATTGTGTATATTCCAACCTGCAAAACTTGCATTAAGACAACGCAACAAGTATTCATGGCAATTCAGCTTCTTCATCTTGATAAGAAAACATATCTAAGTTCATACTTCATACTTTTCCCATCTAGGGGGAATTAATGCATCGCCCGCTTAGTGGGACACCTTACTGATCAGCCATTGTTACTCAAACAGATGACAATCTCTCTCTCTCTCTCTCTCTCTGCTAGCTGTTTGTAGGTGACAGCATTATTTCATGTTTGTCCGTCGTGCTCTAGGTAGGTTAGACCCATGTTGATATAATGTTGTTGTAAGTTGAAGTAACTTGCAATTCAGATCTGTGGCTCGTTGTAATGATAAAGTCAAAAATATAATTATGTATTTTTTCGATTTTTTATTTTTTCAATTTCTTCCCAACGGAAAAGTTTTTTTTTTTTTTTTTTTTTGTGTGTGTGTGTATAATAGATCAAGATATATATTGTGCTTGACAAAAATTCGTATCGTACCACTTAATAAATTTACCATGGGCAGAATGAAATTGAATACGACATATATGAATGAAGTTGCAAGAATATTCCGAAGAAAAACTATCAATAACCTCTGTAAAGAGAATAAAGATTTAGGATTTAGAGTGCATGCATTTTTCCTCAACACTACCCCTGGTTGTGAAACGAAAAAGAATTGAATAAAGGGTTTATTTACTCTTGAGTCTTCTTGAAGAACGCCTAGATATTGAGTCTTTTAAATTGTTTATGTAATTTGAATATATATTTAGTACCTTCTTCTCATTTTTGTACGTGACGGCCGGCCCAACACTAGTGTTATGTCATGCATTACCCAAAAACCGGTGTGGTTTGAGTACAAGTCCGGGCGGCATATATCAAACCCTGAGGTGTAAGTATTGTAACATGACATAATTCTATGATCAATCACCAACTATCGAAATAAGCCACTTTTTCAATACCATAGAATTTGTGATTCTTTGAACTGAAAACAAGCTGTATATATTGAGAACAAAATGGGAGTATCTTCTTCAATGGAAATAGTGTTGCAGAGGGCATGACCTCACATACACAAATTCATCAAGGTTTGGAGACTAATAAATGGTTCGTGTTCTTTCTAAAGTGCAACGTAACTTGTGAGTTCTTGTCATATTACTCCCAACAGAGAGCAACTTGCATAAATATAAATAGGACCCACTTGAAAATTGAAATAAATAAATAAACGTCCTGTAATTTGATCAATCATCATACTTGGGCATTCTTCATCTTGGTAACAGAACATGTCAAGGTTCATGTGTCGCAATGTATAATGCAGGCCGGGTGGGGTCTTGAGTATTGAGTAAAAAGTTGATTGAAGTGACAAAACAATCTCTCTCTCTCTCTCATACGTACGTACAGAGGAGTATTGCTGTTGAGGTCATGGCGACAAAAGGGACCCTTACTGAACGTGGAAAGAAGTCGTGAGTGCAATCAGTGGTGCAATTTGGCATCTTAAAACTGCGAGCGATCTTTCTGGAAATGTTTGCTCAGGGCCTAGCTCCAACTCTCACATCAATGTGATGACTATGAGATAATGAAAATGACAAAGCCATGCATTTAAAGATTACAACACATTTGATTTGGGTTTTATTTTGCTTACGTATCTTTCTAAATCATACCCTTAATTAGTCTTTAAGATTTTGCTAATACTTGATGAATGAACTACTCATATATCTAATATATTAACTTTCGGGGAGTTTTGTTGGTCATGCCGACTATGCTAATTATCAATTACAGTGGCTCTGTAGAACTGATTTATTGGTCTGAGCCATTCTTTAAACTTTAAAGGGTGTAAATCAACTTGAATCACATTAATTGCATGCATATACCATGGATTGAACTGAACTGGGCAATACCACAATTTCTCATCCATAGTTTCATAGATCAGTCTATAGTCTATAGTAGATTGAATGATTGTTAAACCATGTTGTGGTTTCATCCATCCACACAGTATAGCGGGCCCAGTAATTTCAAACACACCACATGACATAAAATCACTCTACCTACCCAACACCCCTGAATTGGTAACTTGGCAATTGATATGGGTCTTGTAATGAAGGAGGCCCAAAATTTGTGAGGTGTAGAACAGAACAGATATCCATGATTTTTCTTCTAAGAAACATTTTTTTTCAAAGGGAATATCAGAAAATGTCTATGCTCAAATGTCAGTTTGCCATGTGCCTTATATGGGGCCAACAACACATGAGTTTGGATCAAGTCCGGATCAAGTAGGCACATCGTTGTAAGCACGTTAAACGAATATTTCTTTTTTACATCTGACCTTTAAAATACCTTAAACCTATGCTTGAAAAATATTAAAGACAACTTTTAACAGTTGCTAGAATATTTATAAAGTGCTCACTGAATATGCTTCATATGTCGTGCCTACTGAATTCCCACCAATTTGAATGTACTTCCCTTCCTAAAAAATACTACAGCCACATATCGGGAGCATCTCTCCATAAACAGATCAGGTTTCATAACAAGCACATGCATGTAGCTCCATCTTCCTTGTATTATTAATTAGTTTGGTCGCAACGGGTGACTAAATGGGTAAGTTATATTTGAAACCATTTAGAATCAACTTCAAATCATTCTTAGTAAGGTTAGCTTTCGAATAAGGTTAATTTGACCTTGTAAAGTTGGTTTTAATAAGTTTTGAGATAGGGTTTGGTTCCATAATATTTCTGCGACTGATCCCTCAACACAAGTCATGTACAGTTCAAGGGTCTGGGTGTTTATCTTACCTGACTGACCCCTCAACATAAGCCAGTTCTAGAGTCTGGGTGTTTGTCCTAGCTGAATCTACCTAGAGAACTGACCTTGATTGGCCTTGGTGAAACCAGCCTGCCGAACTTAGCATATGGGTTTAAATGATGGATTATTTATTAATCATATTGTATTATTTGAAGTGGTTTTGAATTGTATTGTATTTGTATCTATATTGCATTTAATTTAATTGTGGAATGTGTGTAAAAATTGGATTATGGATTAATAATGAGCATGCCATATTATTTAGGTTGTCTATGAATTATGTTTAATTTTCTTCGAGATTGAATAACTATATAGATTTCAAATATGGAATATTTATGGTATATGATTTTCTAAGATCAAAGCTCTGAAAGAGAAAAATAAAAATAAAAAACAGAGAGTGCACTACAGGCTATATATGAAATTAAATGCCTACAAAATTCAAACCAGGATGGCAGGATAAAATCATTCTAATTAATCTCTCCATCACTTTCTGCATACTAAATTTGCTGCTACTATTCACTAGCATTCCAAGTAATTAAGAAGAGGCATCAATTAGAAATGGCAATGGGGCTGGTTCAGGGTGGGGATTTCATTTCCCATTCTCGACCCAGACTCCAAAATCACCCCCCATTTTTGTTTTCGATCCCTGTCAGGGAAAGAAATCTCCCTCCATCCCTGACCCCAATGGGCATAAATTTTCCGTCAGAGACCCGAATCCCCAAGAAAACTGATATTTCCTTCAATTCCATGCTGTCGTACCCAAAAGAAGAACTACAGTGGAAGAGAATTATAGGACTAGAGAAAGATTCCACACAACCCCACCATTGCTAAATTTAACAGTAAATTGCAAAAAAGGCTTAAATTCGAAGTGGGTTTCTTCTAAAACAACTTAGTTCTTCAATTTCGTTACCAGAACCTCTTCTTCCCCAGAATCCAAGGTATAAACCCCCTTTAGAAATCAATTTTAACCGAAACTGGTGTTTTAAATGAAAGGGGCATGAAGAAAAAGCTAGAAGAACTAAAGTAGGTTTCAGGGAAGTCCTTAACTAAAAGCTGAAACTGGTGTTTTCTCCACCATGAATTAACAAATACAATTAAATAAGCTTCAATTCTGTAACAGTAATCTAATCAAAACAAAACCCCTTATAACATCTATTTTTCATTATCGGGTGAGAATGAACGTGAACGCCACGAGCCAACCCAACAAAGCATGACAGAAAATTCTTAAAAAAGAAGGAAAGAAAGAAAGAATTAGATCTAAAAACAGAACATATGTACTTTCTTCTTTGAAGAACTTAGTTTTAGTTCTTTCTTCTTTGA